GTGTGTGTGTGTGTGTGTGTGTGTGTGTGTGTGTGTGTGTGTGTGTGTGTTAGCTGCCTATAAACTGACCTTTGACCTGACAGCTGAAGAGGAAGGACCTTTTTTTCCTGAACCTTCCTGTGTCGAGACAGAAGACCTGAGGTGTAACCTGTTACAGCTTCTCCTCCTTTATTTATTATTTATGGAGCGGTTCTGTCAACGCTGCAGTTTTGCTCTAAAAATGGTTTCAAACCAGATTTTCCTGCAGGTGTTTGGGTCAGAAACCGTGTCTGCAGAACCTTCAAGATTCTGAGGATTAAATAAGAATAATCCAGATTATTTGTAAAAACTAATCATAGATTTTAATTTAAAGCTTTTATGTTGATCTGCTTCATAATAATATTAATTCATAAAGCAAAAACCCCAGTTTTAACTTTTACAAAATAAAATTTTTATTATTTTTCTTTAAATATAAATAAATGTTTAAACTTGGTCATAATAAAGATGACGGTGTGTATTTTCTATCAACATGTCATGTTTTTGTTGATTTTAAAGCACCTTACAAAATCTAATCATTTTAATGGTTTAATTGCTCTGTAGCGCCCTCTGCTGTTTACCTTTTATCATGAAAGGAAGTTAAGATAACCAAAACAATAAATAAAATCTTAGTGTTTTATTTTGTGAAACGCAGCCCTCATGTTCAGAATGACCTGTTTGTTAATATTTAATTACTAAATCACAATCAGTGACATCATGCAGTTCATATTTTACTCTAATTTTAAAGCTAACTATGTGAAAATACAAAGATTTTCCGAAAGGTATTATTTTTAAAAAAGAGAAAATGAAATTTCAGTTTCAGCCTGAGTGATTAAACACAAGTTTAGGTGCAAAATAAATTTAAAAAATTCAAAACATCGACAGAAAAAAAAACTTAATGAATTTAAACGTTTTTTGACCCAAACCAATCACCTGAGCTGAACTTTATCCTCTAAAACACAAAATATTTCTTTGCAATCTGTTCACAAACATTTTGTCTTGATTAAAAAACAAAACAAATAAACTTCAGGAGGTGTTAAACCACAATATAAAATGTATTTTTCCACCTGTTTTTAGTTAAAATGCAGATTAAACTGGTGCAATAACAGAGAAAAGATTCATATCTTTGTTTACTTCATTTTTTATTTGAAGCTTTTTAAATCAAATGAATGCTTTTTGACTTTTGCACACTTGTTGATGATTGTGTTATTCCTCAGTGAAGGGATGTTTTTATTTATTTATTGTTTGTAATTATCGGACGGTTTGAACTCTATGAAGTGTGTGTTTGTGTGTGAGGGGCTGAAGTTGCCTCTTTTTATATTTTCTTGGATTTGTTACAATATTTCCTGAGTTTACATCAGTCTGTGGACGTTTACTGTTTTATGTTTTGTTTTTGTTGCTCAAAAGTCATTTTACTGGAATATTACCACCATAAATAAAACGTTATGGATTTAGTTTTATGCACATTTATTGTTGTTGGAGTCTTAACCACTAAATATTAAATCATTTTACTTATTTTTAAGTTACATCAGTTAAATAAAGCAGGTATGGATGTAAAAACAGTGAATTAAATACAAGATATTAAAGTTAAAACTGTTTTTATTTTTAGAAAACGAGGCAACTTCATCCCCAGTGTTTTTTTTATTCTGATTATTTTTGTAAAAACAGAAAAAGAAAAAGTTTTTTTGAACGTTGTGACCAACCTGGGCTGAACACAAGTGCTTTATTGAATAATGTTGGATTATTTGTAAACAAACAAACGTGTCTTTAACTGTTGGTTTCTACGACGACGACTTTAACCTAAGATTCTGCTTTTTTCAAATCACTTTTATCATAATCTGAATTTATTTCAGTATACTTATTTAATCATTAAAAGCTGAACTGAATAAAAAAAGAAAGTGTGGAAAGAAGTTATGAGAAACATGGAGATTTTTCCTGCATTTACACTGTAAAACAGGGCCATTCAACTGGTGGCCCGCGGGCCACATCTGGCCCATGGGTGACTTCCATCCAGCCCATCAATTTTTTTTATTAATATTATTTTTTACTTGATTTAATATAAAAATAGATTAAAATCATTTGTAAATGTAAATAGCAGCAGATAATACAGGCTGCAGTGTTTCACCTACAATTAAACACTTATTTTTCAACGTAACCATTTTTTAAATTAATTTTTATTAAATTATGACCAAGATGACCCGTTTAGTCTGCTGCAGTACACAACTGGGTTGTGCGGTACTGCGAACAATATTCTATATTTTAAGTTAAATATATTCCTGATGCATTTGTTTGTAAAATGATTTAAAATTCAAACTGAAAAAACACTTTATTCCCAAATGGGAAATTAGATGTTGTTGTAACTCATTGAACAAAAGAGTTTTTGTAAAATGCAAAATAAATGTGATCTATAAGTTTACAAGTTGCAGGAAAAGCTGAAAGTTTTAGTTTCAGATTATTTTTTGGTGTTTGTTTAATTAAAGCTAAAAGATGCAGAAAGAAGTGAAACTAAAACGATTTTCTCTTAAAACTCAGTTTTTAATTGGCTGAAATCAAACTTTTCTTTTTCTCGTTTTAAACCCAAATGGCTCCTTTTGTATTGAGTTATTTTTTTCTCTCCAACAAGATTATTGTTTAAGCCATCTGATCATTTGATCTCATAAATCTTCAATCCCAGGTGTTTTTATTGTTTTGTTTTTCTTCTGTCAGATTATTTGTTTGTTCATCTGTTTACAGTGTGGATGAAGAGAATAAAAGCTGCCTTAAATGATTTAGTTTGACTTTTAAACTGATTAAAGTGAAATAATGACCTCCTGAATGTTTCTCACAGCCTCTCTCCACTCTGAGCTGTAATCCTAATCCAGTTTTGTTTCCGTGAGAACACATGAAGGTTCATGTTTTTTATCGAAGAAGGGAAAGTTAGACTTTAACAGGGATTTATTACCATTATTATTGTTGTTATTATTGTTATCTTGGTGAAAATAATGGAAGTTTGAAATGTTTTTACTGAAACTACAAATAGTTTAATCTTTTATTTGGCTCAGATTATAATCCAGATTATCGGTCTGGAAAACCAGCAGTTAAAACATTCCTTTTTACAAAGAAGTAAAAACATTTCAAACTAATTAAATTTTGTCCCGATGAGTGTTTAATTATCAGGGTTCTGCTTTTCTCAGTCGACTCCACTGATGTTTTTTAAAATTTAATATAATTTTTTGTTTTTGATGAAGGAGGTCGTTTTGTTACGTCGAGTTTCCTCTGAAGCACTAAACCAGTAAAACCCCACAGAGTGACTTTGTGTTGGTTTGTTTTATTGGAACGAGCAGAAAAACCTGAAACTAAACGTCAAACACCAGTTGGATTTTTGCTCGTTGTTTTTTTTACTAAAAGTTGTTTTAAAACAACAAACTCAACATTAAACCAATAAAAACCCTTTTTTAAAAAACTTATCAAGTTTAAACCGTAGAAGTATTTTTTTTTTTACACGAGTCAGTTTTAATGTTCGGCTCTTCTGATTGGCTGGAATTTTTTTACTTCACGGCCGGCAAATAAAATAACAACGGTGAGTTTATTATCACATGAAGTTTACAAACTGAAAAGATATTTTTATTTATTTATTTCATATTACAATCTTGAAACGGTGACCTGTGTATTCTTGATGCTGCTCTGGTTCGTTGAAATAAAAACTGATGTCTTTTACATTTTTCTGCTTCTTTTGTTCTTGTCTGTGTTTAGAGGTGATTGATGGTGTTTTGGTTTTTGAAGCGTTGGTTTGACAAACGCACCTTTTTTAATGTCGAGGATGATTCGAGAAATACAAAGGTATAACTTTAGGTCTACCATTCTTTTCTTTATTCTTCATTTAGGGTCGCCATTAGTTTTCCTGAGGTCCAACACACAAAATAAAACATCAAAACAACACAATCAATAAAACACATTTAAAAATAAAGTATAATTAAATAAAATTAAATTAAAAGCCAGCAAAAATGTCAAAAACAAGAAACGTCCACTTAAAACCCCCAAAACGTAAATCAATTGGCTTAAAACTCCTACGAAACACACGACACCAAAGAACACACTATAAACCAACAATAAATGAATTAAACAATAAAAACCATCATCACCTCAACATTATCTGTTTGGAATAACAAACTATATGCTTTTCTGTCTTATTTATTGAATCATTTTGTAAAAGGATTCAGAATACATTGGGGTTAAAAAAAAACATTTTAATGCTTTTAATGTGATTTCCTGCTTTCACTGTATTTACTCTGCACCTTTTCTATTCCACGTTAACAACTAACAACAACAATAAAGAAAAGCCTTATTTTCCCCCTCTGTTTTTTTCAAAAGTAACAAATTATTTGACATTTTTGGGGTTATACGACAAACTTAAATTTCTCAGTTTTCCAAGAGTTTATATTTACCTGGTGCACTACAGTTTGGCCAGGAAAAATTACAACACAGTTCAACAAATACAATGAAAATGTGACAAGCGCAAATAAACCCTGCATGCCATTTTCAGCAGTTATGCAAATACGTACATAATTGCCCCCCCAAACCCCCCTTTGCAAATTACGCCAATGGAGAAATAAAGCAACCAAGAAAAAAACAATTGCATTAACTGCCAGCAGGGGGCGACTGCAGTGAAATCCTGGCTGTGTTTCCATTTCATTCAGTTCATTTATCATCATTCCAAATCAAAGGTTCATTTCAGAGACGGTACAGAATTCACAGATTACAGAACGATAACTAGAACCTGGCCCAGGATAGTTGGCTATCTGCCTCAACTGACTAAAAAAATACAAACATGGAGAGCAGAGTGAGTAAGAGTAAGGGTCAGTGTATCTTTTGGTCATTGGTTTTTCATTTTAGAAATGGGTATTAAAAACACAAGAATTGAGTGGATATTTGATTTTTGTTTCAAAATACTGAAATTAAAATTCAAACACAAAGTGTTTCTCATTCTTAGTGTCAAAAGGGGATGAGCAAAAATTTTTTAATGATTTGAGTTTCATTTTCTGTTTCAGATAGCAAAAAAGAAAATTACTTTAAGACAGAAACGAAAAAAGGCTCGTTTGTTCATAATCCATGACAGGTCGTGCCAATTTACTGTCTCTCTACAATAATCTGTTTCACCACCAGGAGGGGTGCCTGCAATATCAAAGTTACTCAATGAGCATCCCATTCATCCATCCATCCATCCATCCATCCATCCATCCATCCATTTTCTTCCACCTATCCGGGGTCGGGTCGCGGGGGCAGCAGCTTCAGAAGGGAGGCCCAGACCTCCCTTTCCCCAGCCACTTCTTCCAGCTCCTCCGGGGGAACTCCAAGGCGTTCCCAGGCCAGCCGAGAGACATAGTCCCGCCAGCGTGTCCTGGGTCTTCCTCGGGGTCTCCTCCCGGTGGGACATGCCCGGAATACCTCACCAGGGAGGTGTCCAGGAGGCATCCTTACCAGATGCCCGAGCCACCTCAACTGGCTCCTCTCGACGTGGAGGAGCAGCGGCTCTACTCTGAGTCCCTCCCGGATGACCGAGCTTCTCACCCTATCTTTAAGGGAGAGCCCAGCCACCCTGTGGAGGAAACCCATTTCGGCCGCTTGTATCCGAGACCTCGTTCTTTCGGTCATGACCCAAAGCTCATGACCATAGATGAGGGTAGGAACATAGATCGACCGGTAAATCGAGAGCTTCGCTTTCTGACTCAGCTCTCTCTTCACCACGACGGACCGGTACAGCGCCCGCTTTACAGCAGACGCTGCGCCAATCCGCCTGTCGATCTCCCGCTCCGTTCTTCCCCCATTCGTGAACAAGATCCCCAGATACTTAAACTCCTCCTCTTGAGACAGGGCGACCCCCCTGACCCGGAGAAGGCACTCTGCCCTTTTCCGGCTCAAGACTGTGGCCTTGGATTTGGGGGCACTGAGCCTCATCCCGGCCACGAACCGTTCCAGCGAGAGCTGCAGATCTCGTTCTGATGAAGCCAAGTTCAATAAACATCCCATTACAAGTAAAAAGCATTGATGTTGACTTCGGTAGCAAATATATTCACCAAGTATTTATTTGGTATCAGATCAATATCAAAGTCGTAGTACCGCCCACCCCTCACTGAAAGGAACACTCAAAGGATGCAAACTGAGAAAAATAGACTATAGATTTTGAATTTCAGGATGGGGAAAACTCAGGACAAAAACAAACTTTCTACTCACAGAACAACAACTGTACAACACTAATGAAATAAAAATTATCTTATTTAGCTTTTTATTGAGAGAAATGGAAGTTGCCGACATGTATTCAGTAAAAGAGACTTATTTGGCCAAAAGTCACATGGATTCCATTCCTGGATTGCGATGTCTCGGTTTCRGATGGAGGACGGTTTGAAACTGGCGTATATCGTAAGCCCAAAGAAAAAGAAAGACCGTCCATCATTAAACAGAGGTGGAGGCCTCCGTTTTCAGTTGTCCCCCTCCTACAGCGCGGCCATTGCCAGTATCACTCCACCCCCTGTTAACAATAGGTGTTAATTAGGTGTCAAAGATAGCCATGTGATGTGAGTATCAGTCACATGGAGGCAGGGCTTAAAAGCCTGCATTTTGCCTGAAACTCTCAGACTGAAGAAGTCTCTTGGAGGAGAGACGAAACGTTTCATTAGAGAAGAACCCGTCCAGAGGACCTATACAAATATTTTCTTTTTGATTTTTTACCTGGATTACTGAGATGCATCAAGACACATGAATTACCTCTGCAGCCTTTGGTCACAGAGCAAGAGTCATCATACAACTCATTTATGGACATACACATCTGTGTTTCAGCCTTTTATTTACATAAATTAATGTTTAATTATGCAGAGCTGCCAGGCAAGCTCCCCTTCTGGTGGGGGATAGATAGTTGTAGAATACAAAAAAAAAAACAAGCCTTTTTCCTTTATGTCTTAAAAGTAATTTTCTTTTTTACTATCTGAAACAGAAAAGGAAACTCAAATCATTGTTAAAATTTTGTTTGTCCCTTTTTGACACTAAGAATGAGACACACTTCGTATTTTAATTTTAATTTCAGTATTTTAAAACAAAAATCAAATATCCACTCATTTGTTTTTTTAATACCCGTTTCTAAAATAAAAATCCAATGACCAAAAGATACACTGACCAGTAAGTTACCCTTTAGTTCTAACAGCAGAACTCAAGAATAACTCAGGAAACCAACCTGGACTATAGGATTTATCAAAAAGAAAAGTCTCAAGTCAATCCGGTGGCGTGCTTTGATACATCCAAACTTTAAGTAGAATATTTTATTGTTTGTTGTAAACATTGTTTCTGGGTTACCTGCAGAAAACAAAGCATCTTTTCCTTCTCCACGTCTGACGTAGTTTCTGTCGACGACAGCTTCATGAGAGTAAAACTGTTTGTTATTTTTATTAAAGGCCCTCTCACTTCAATCAAAGCTTTAATGTGTTTTAATGAGTGACCAAACTGGCTGTTCTTCATTCTGTTCTGCCTCAGGCGTTCCCACTGCACCGACGAGTTCACAACTGATCGTTTTCACCATCTTCATGCCACATAGTTGACATTCCTTCTGCACTAGGCTTTTGTACTCAGCACAGTACGATCCGTCTAGTTTTTAGTTTTTTATTGGACGTCTTTGTCTGTTTTTGCTTTTCTTTCAGCTGCTCCGTTTTCATCCTCTTCTGCCTACAGAGCCACCTTCAACACTTTCATGAACCTCCTCTGTGGTTCTCCTTCCTGTCAGCTCCGGTGTAGACCCCCTTCCTCTAGTCTGTCCACCTTCCTTTTCTTTTCGTTTAAAGTCACAGAGATCCTGCGTTTGAGGATGCATTTTAATGACGACTGAATCGTTGTGTAACATCTCGTCACCGCTCTCTGTTGGCGTTGTCAGCAGGAACAATGCACCCACTTGACGGGATGATGAGTTAAATTCCAGTCTGAGCGCGGTTTCAAGTTTCCACGTTAATTTGATTTCCGAGAAGATTTCCTGGTTCATTCAAACTCTTCTTGAAAAATACACGTGAACCGGTGGGGCCTTTTTTGTTGTTGTTGTTGATAGTACATCCACAACTGTTGAACTTTTCAGTTCGTCTACAACAAACCATCATCAGCAAACAGAAAAACGTTTCCAGCCCAACCAAACACATGGAGCTAACCTTTGGTTCAACTGATCCTTGAACCCATCCTCTGTTATATCAGATCACAGAAAAGATTTGTTTTCAGCTTTTGGCGTGAAACATGGCAGACGGTTTGCATTTCTTCAACAACTTTTATCTCTTTGTTTTCTCTTTGCCTTTGTTTTTCATTAAAGCAGTCTGACTTTTAATTTGTTCCTAAAAAATAGAAACTGCGGAAAGTTTGAGATGGATTTCTCAGACATTTTAACAGAGATGTTTAGTAACTGAGTACATTTACTTCATTACAGTAATTTTTTGATGGAGCTTTTTTTTTTAATCGTAACATTTACTTTTATTTTTGCTCCATTCAAAACCTGAAAATACTTATACGTCCTTACTTTTAAATTTAACAGCTGGTTACACGTTACAAATTTAAATATAACTGAAACTAAACATGTCTTTTATGCGTTCTAAAAAAATAGTGTTGACTTTAATTAATTGAAGCAATTATTTCAACCGATTTGAGTAAATTGAGCAATTTACACATTTTCTTTTAAAGAATGTGTTTTATACAAATTTTTACACAGATTGTTTTATTTATTCAATTTGGTCCAGTAAATCTAACACTTCATTTTTTGAGAGCGCATACAAAAGTACTTTGACTTTCCCAGTTATTGTGAACAGTTTTATGACTATTAGTTACTTTTCTTATCAGTGAGATACATTTTTACCAGTCATTTTCTGTTCAGGTACTTTTACTGTTACTTAGTATTTATTTTAAATACTTTAAAAAGAACTGCTGATATTAGATATTCTGAAACTGTGGAAACAAAAATAATTAAATTTAATGAACAGCACGAGTGTTTGGTTGAACTTATGACACCCATCATAGATAGATAGATAGATAGATAGATAGATAGATAGATA